AGTCGTTCAAGGACTACATGATCGACATGCAGACGATGGTGAGGCCACTTAATTACTCCGCTAAAGAGACCCTAAGGACCATCAAGGAAAACTGCACCCCTAGTCTAAGGATCTTCCTAAGGGCATACAAAGTGTCGGACCTGGACACGCTAATGATCCTAGCCGATGAGTACGAAGAACTTGAAAAGGAACGGGAAGTCTTCGCACAGGAGAACAAGTTCTCAAAACAAAAAAAAAAAAAAAAAAAAAAAAAAAAAAAAAAAAAAAAAAAAAAAAAAAAAAAAAAAAAAAAAAAAAAAAAAAAAAAAATACAAAGACAAAGGTGGAACAGGGAGTCGAACAGGCTGCTGCGATACCAAGTTAGGACGTCGAGCAAGATCGGATGGCCGGATTCGCCGCAGGAGGACACGCACAATAAATAAATAATCAAACAGCAGCCACGAGAAAAACAAAAAAACGAAAAAGAACCGAGGAAAACAAAAAAAAAAAAAAAAAAAAAAAAATAAAAAAAAAAAAAAAAAAAAAAAAAAAAAAAAAAAAAGGTGCTGGACACGAAATAATAATACCAGCCAGGAACCGACACAATGGATGGCTCGAGGAGAAGCTATCAGTAGCAGTCGTTCAACAAGTAAACGAGTTGGACGATACTACAGCGTTCCTTGAAGCAGAGCTGGCAGACTTCAGCACAATGTCGGGAACATCGAATATGGCAGAACACCAGATCAAAATGAAGGACGACAAGCCAATCAAGCAGAGATACTACCCAAAGAACCCAAAAATTCAAGGGGAAATCAACGCAAAGGTGGACGAGCTTCTCCAAATGGGGTTCATAGAGCATTCAAAGAGCCCATACAGCTCCCCCATCGTGATGGTGAAAAAGAAGACAGGCAAGTGGAGACTGTGTGTCGACTTCAGGCAGATCAACGCGAAGTCAGTGAAGGATGCCTACCCAATGCCCCGCATAAACTACATCCTAGATCAACTAAGAGAAGCGCGGTACATCAGCAGTTTGGACCTGAAGGATGGATACTGGCAGATCCCATTAGAAGAAAGTAGCAGGCAATATACAGCATTTACGGTACCAGGCAAAGGTCTGTTTCAGTGGAGGGTAATGCCGTTCGGACTTCACTCGGCGTCGGCAACGTTTCAGCGAGTCTTGGACCAAGTAATCGGCCCCGAGATGTCACCTCTCGCATTCGCTTACCAGGATGACATAATAGTGATCGGTCGCACGCTGGAAGAACACAAAAGAAACCTGAAGGAAGTGTTCCGGCGTCTAAAGGAGGCAAATCTGAGGCTGAATCCAGAAAAATGCCAATTCTTCAAAAAGGAGCTGCTGTACCTGGGTCATCGAGTGACTAGCGAGGGAATAGGAACAGATCCAGAAAAAGTAGCCGCCATCGCCGAACTAGAACTGAATCGGTCAAAGAGCTCCGGCAATACCTAGGAGTAGCGTCGTGGTACCGCCGGTTTGTACCAGATTTTTCCAGAATCGTCAAACCCCTGAACGACCTGCTGCGCAAAGGCAGTAAGTGGGAGTGGACACCAGAGCACCAGATGGCGTTTGAGGAGGTTAAGGCAAGACTCGTGGCAGATCCAGTGCTAGCATGCCCGGACTTCAGTAGAACTTTCATCCTGCAAACAGACGCCAGCGACTACGGCATCGGAGCGATACTGACCCAGGACACCGAAAAGGGCGAAAGAGTAATCTCCTACTCGAGCCGAACACTGAACGGCGCGGAGAAGAACTACTCGACAACGGAGAAGGAGTGCTTGGCGATCGTCTGGGCGATCCGGAAGCTCAGGCCATATCTGGAAGGTTACCACTTTAAGGTAGTAACCGACCACATGGCCCTGAAGTGGCTCAACAGCATCGAAAGCCCTTCAGGAAGGATCGCCAGATGGGCCCTGGAGCTACAACAGTACGACTTTGAGATAGCATACAGAAAGGGCCAGCTAAACGTGGTGGCCGACGCATTATCAAGACAACCACTACCAGAGACGCTACGAGGAGTAAAAGAGGCATCGGCAACAATAACCTCAGGAGAGTGCAGCTGGATCAAGGACATGGGCGAAAAGATAAGGACCCAACCGCAGAAGTACCCGGACTATGTTATGGATGGTGAGACACTGTACAGAAACATACCTCACCGAGCAGGCAGTGAAGACGTCGCGTCATGGAAGATGTGCGTCCCGAAGTCGCTACGAGAAACAGTGTTGAGGGAAAACCACGACGCACCGTCCGCGGGACACGTAGGAAGCCGAAGGACAATTGCACGGTTGGCAGCCCGATACTACTGGCCAGGCATGCATAGAGACGCCCGAGCCCACGTACGAAAGTGCGAGATTTGCATGCGGTTTAAGCCCAATCAGATGCAGGCGGCTGGGAAGATGTTGACCCAAGTGCCGGAGGAACCATGGGCCACGGTATGTGCAGACTTCGTTGGACCACTACCAAGATCTAAGCACGGGAACCAAATGCTGCTGGTCATGATAGACAGGTTTTCGAAATGGACGGAACTGGTGCCCCTACGCAGTGCGACGGCAGAGTCGCTCAAAAAGGCATTTAGGGAGCGCATAATCGCAAGGTACGGGGTCCCGAAGGTGGTCATAACGGACAATGGAGTACAGTTTGCAAGCCGCATATTTAAAAATTTCCTGGCTGAGATGGGTATCAGTCAACAATTCACCGCGCCATACACACCACAAGAGAATCCAACCGAACGAGCAAACAGAACGGTCAAGACCATGATTGCCCAGTTCGCAGGGCAGGACCAGAGAAACTGGGACGAGAAGTGGCCGGAGATTATGCTAGCAGTGAACACGAGCACATCGGAATCCACCGGCCATACACCGGCGTTTCTTACCCAGGGAAGGGAACCACGTCTACCCAGCAGCCTATACGATAAAGAAACCCTAGGAACCGGACGAGCTACGGAGACCCCTGAGGAAAATGCCAACAAACTAAGAGAGGTATTCGAGATCGTGCGGCGAAATATGGAAAAGGCGTCCCAGGACCAAGCCAGACACTACAATCTGAGAAGGAGGCAATGGTCACCAGCGGTGGGCGACATAGTGTGGGCCAAGGAACATCACCTGTCCAAAGCGGCCGAAGGATTCGCTGCAAAACTAGCCCCGAGGTACGATGGCCCTTACCAGGTTGTAGATTTCGTCTCTCCAGTGATCTGCAAAATTAGCCACACACCCGCTGTACCAATACCACGAGAATAAATCCCACTGTTACCATTTGAACACTTTGTTTTTCTCACTGATCTACGGGCAATCACGTCATATAAATTTGGTGGGACGAACACACAATCTTCTGAGCTAGCCGCACGAATCTCGGAGCGAGCAGACATACAAAATCAGTTCGTTACAATATGAACGCTGATATCTAGGAACCTATCAAAGATAGAGAATTGGAATTTCAGATTTATATTCCGTAGCTTTGTACGCGGCGCAAGTTTATCACGCGAATATGCCACGCCTATTCTAACGCCCACAAAATGCCCAAGCCTGTATCTGAAAGTCGAGGTACTCGACTGTAGTATATTTCCTTCTGATCAGCTATTACATCTCTGACTGGTTGAATATTGAGGTCTTTCTGTATGTTTGCCACGGTGATGATTCTCAGGATCTTCGGTTGTGCTCGCTGGATAACATTAATTTTGCTTCTGCGAGCGTTCCCCCAAATAGGTTTAAGTACGGAATTGTAGAGTAGGACCTTGTATTCAAGACTACGAGAGGACCGAGCGTTGATAAGCCAGTGAAAGCTATTGACTTCTAGTTTTAATTGTGTTCTCTTGGCTTCGATATGCCTTCGCCAAGTGAGTCGTCTGTCGAGTTCACGTCATTCGCTTGTGGGAGTGCGGAATAGATTAGACTGAGCGGTGGGCAATTTTGCCTGTTTAGCCAGTCACTAGTCAGATATATATTTTTCCAATTCTACTAGATGAAGTTCCAATTACTCTGATACATGCATAGGGCACCTGGAACGGCTGAGTAAAGCTGTATCGTCAGCAAATGTAGATGTTATCAGTCTTCTGCTTGTTGGGATGTCTGCTGTGGAGAGTACATATAGCGTTGACCCAAGTACACTGCCTTGGGGGACGCCAGCTACAATCGAGTAGTCGTCAGACATAGCAGAATTGCATTCCACTCCGAATTTCCTGTCGTATAGGTAAGATTTTTATAGTTTGTGTGTATTATTAGAAGGCGTTGCTCTGATCTTATGCATAAGACCATTTAATATCTAATGAATTTATTCGGGAAAGCACCCATTTTTCGAAAAGTTTGGATAAGCATGATAGTAGCTTATGGGTTTGTATGACGAGGCAATTGTGTGATCTTTGTCGGGTTTCAGTATCTGGAAAGTGGCAAAGCCTTGTAATGGCATTGAAGAGATGGGTGATAGTGCAAGCTGCGCAATATGGGAGCTCAATAGTCGTTGTTGGAGAATTTTTCGGATCCAGATGATTTTTGATGAGATGAGCGACTTCGTTTGGTCGAAATTCCATTGGCTTGCGTTGCAATTACACACAATTTTTAAAGGCGGAAGTGAAAATGCATTTGTAAAAGATTTGGCTGGAACACATTTTCAAGGTGTTCTGCACATGTTCCGGCTCTATTTTCATCCCTGCTGGCCCAGCCGCCTACTGCATTTCTATAAAGCGGCGTTGGGTATTTGCTTTTTCTAGCTTTAACGCTTTGATGAGCTTGCGGGAGGCGTCTTTTTACCTTTTTTATGCAAATGCCGACCTCATAGGTCTTCCATTCTAGTCGTATGCGTCGCTTTTCGAGTACGAGCTGCTAGTTGATTTGTCTTCTCTTTTGTGAAAAAAAAGAGTTTCATTAAGTATATCTCCATCCCTCTCTCTCTCACTCCCTTAAGCTCAGTTACGGGTATCTAATAGGTGAGCCCATCGACTATAGCGATTTCTCTAGCTTATACATAAATAAAAACATTACAACATAAAATAAATATGAACATTAATACTTACGATTGATTGTTCTAAGGCAAACACATAATAATTAAAAAATTTGTGTAGCTTTTCGTTGGTATAGTTTATGCATAGTTGCTCAAATGAGTTGTGAGAGAAATTTTCAAATCCAAATATATCGAGAACTCCAAGAAATGTAGCCCCATCTTGGCCTGGGTTTGTACAGTTATTTATTTTCGTAACCAACCATGTAAATGTTCTCGAGTACAACGCTTTTGCCATGGCGTGTCGATTTTCCACAGCCTAAAAAAGAATAAGTATATCATTATTATATTTTGCTGTCTGTGTATTTCGGGCAAGGAAGAATAATTTTAAAGTTATTGAAGTTTTGTTCTCAACCAATGTTCTAAACGTAACCATCATCAGTCGTACGATTTATACATAAAAAATTCAAAATTCTGTGATCCTATAAAAAGCTATTCACCAGAGTAGGGTAGATTGGAATTTTTAATAATAATATTATTATTATCAAATTGGTACCTATTAAACCCTATAGTTAAAGGATACTATGGTCGAAATACACGTAATGACGTACAGAGAGTACCAATTTAAAGGTATGGTTTTGTAAATTATTAAATATTTTGTGTTTACTTTGTTTTAGTCACATGTTAATTCATAAGATGTGCCGAAAGAAATATTTTCTAATTCAATTGAGTTATTGGAGGAATAATATACTTAAAATTGCTAAAAGGGCTATATGGGATAACAGTAGTTTTAGGTCATTTTGCAGTCTATATGGACATGTGAAGATTTGTATAAAAATTTTTGTTTCCGTGTAAATTATATCTTCATACAAAAGTTTCGCGAAAAATCTACGTATGATTCATCCGTCAAAACGAACATATAGCCCTTAAATAAAAACCAGTCGTGACTGGGCTCGTTAGTAAAATAAGTAAAATAGTATAGTAAGTAACGAAAAAAGAATTACACGGTAGTGCGAAAGAAATCGGAGAGCGGGAAAACTAGAAGTCTGATCGCTATCGTTATTTTGCTACCTATTTACAAAAGAAAAATCTGGTCGGACAATGGATTTCTTTACCAAAATTTGGTTTTTTTATAGCCAAGCAATTGTTATCTTAAAAAAGCATGTTTGTGTAAAGAGTACGAATATTGAAATTTTTTGATGTAAGCCGAAGTTGCAAAGCTCTCGCTGTCCAAAATTGTATACAAAAACAGGGAAGAACACTATAGTCGACTACGTCGACTATCAGATATCCGTTACTCATCTAACGGGACCAAAGGGAGATATGCAAGCAGCAAAGCGAGATTGGAACGCGCCACCTCCCCGCGATCTCAATATATGGTTATGTGGCGAAACAAACTTGCGCTGCGCAGGAATCTCAGGAATCCGAATGCCTAAAACTGTAGGAGCCACAGTTTTGGACGGGTTTTGGACGTTAGAGTGGGCGTCGCACGCTGACGAAACAAACTTGCGGTGCGCAGGAATCTCAGGAATCCGAATGCCTAATCCCAGTATTGTAGATTTTATAGTTTCCGAGATCACAGCGTTCATACGGACAGACGGAGGGGCAGACATGGCTAAATCGACTCGGCTAAATATGCTGATCAAGAATACTCGTACTTGAAGAACTTGATAGTGATGAGATAGGTTCGTAAAACCCTGATAAATTTGACGAGAAAACGGCTGCGGCTGAAGTTACTATTCGTGACATACTGACATCCGGAAGCGTCAAGCCGAGGCCCCCCGTAATCAACTTTTCGTCATGATAATTCTATGAATCGACCAACTGTGGCTATGGCCGAAATTACAGCTGCCAACCGGAATTCACATATTTTTTTATCGGTGTTCACGACAAGCATCGGCAAGGGTACAGAAATAGAGAAACTCCTACACTTACGATCTTGTTTACAGGGCTCTGCCTTGGTAACAATTAGCGTGTTGAAAATTTCTGCTGTAATGTTTATTATATATAAATGATGTAAATATTATAATATATAAATGATGTAAATATTATTATATGTATTTCAGGCATACATGTGAGATCTTAGGCCTTGAGAGAGTAGAAACGGGAATTTTCGGAAAAGCTAAATATTTTCGCGATCTGCAGGCGACCAAATTGCTTAATGCATGATCTTCTACATGATTCTTCACAAAATAAATAGCGACAAGTAATCGAAAGGGGAGGGAGATAAGTATATGAGAGAAATTCCGTCATGAATCGAGTTCACAGCTTTACTAGAAGCCCACTGCCAGCATTTGGAGAATATGGAACATTCTGAGGCCACCTACGAGCCCGGCAAGCATGCAAGCAGGAGAAACAAAAATAATAACAGCTATAAAAGTACACTGGTAGCAACTAACTCTTATAATTCTGTTTGTGAATTTTGAAAAAATTGTGGCTATAGAGTTATAATAATATATAATAATAATAGTATATAACACTGGTTTTGGCAAGCCAGATTAAGCCTCTTTGCCTCTCTTAGGCGAAGCGAAGGTGCTTAAGAGAAGATCATCAAGTAAGAGCATCCAGATCAAGCGGCTGTCGAACTTGTGGATACAAGCATCACTCGTTACTTCGTTTCACTGTTTCCAATACCTTAGCGGATCTGGTAGAACCTCAAATATCCCTTTTCTGCAGCACAGTCGGCTTCACTAGCGTTTCCCTCCACATCTAGTTATCTTATTGCCCACAATCTCGATCCTTGCAAATGTCATATTGGTAAAACATCTTGGTAGGTCTTTAATACCGAGCCGTGCACTTTCAGACTCAGGAACGCAGGTTCATCTTGTCACTTCTGGTTTCGCACAACAGCTGCAACTTAAACGGACGGGCATCGGCCATTGGCGATGCGTCGTTTGTTCCGGAGGGCTGCACTGTTAACCAAAATCTGCGAAAGATTCCCCAAAAACCTACCTTTAGCAGATCCACGACTCTTTAGAACATGTTGACCTCCTTGTAGTTGCTAGCATGTTTTTCGATTGGCCAAGTCAAGTCCTGAACTAAAGGCGCAGAGCTCAGCTCACATGTCATTGGAGAAACCCGAATCAAAAATTAGATGCCAATACTTTTTGCCGCACCATTATGTCCTCAAGAAGGCACCACGACAACAAAGCTTCTAGTCGTATTCGACGGCTCAGCATCAAAATTTTCACTCAACGACATTCTCATGACAGGACCTACTATTCAAACAAAGGTCATGCACACTCAACTGCGAGGCACTTACCGCTGATACTGATGTTCCACTAACATGGCATCCTGAATTAGACGAGTTTCTCTTCTGTGTTTGGCCAAAGGAGCTCTCTACAAAGCCAATAAAGACTACAATTGCTCGCTTTTCTAATACCCTAATTTAATTGGACCGGTCATAAGAATAGCGAAAGTATTTCTGCAACTTTTGTGGAAAGACCAGCTTCATTGGGATAACAACTTGCCAGCTTATTTTGCAACCGATTGGCTCACACTCTGCGAAACTAAGTCAAACTAAGCGTTTTCATTTTCAAGGCTTTGTTTTACTTACAGATTCCAAAGTAGCAATCCGAGGATTCTGCGACACCATTCCCGACGAATCAACTCGGGTGGTTCCATTAAAGGCAATCACGATTCTAAACCAGAGCTTTGCGGAGCTCAATTTCTTCGCTGCAAAGTTGTTCTGTTGTTTGGACTCAACAACTGTTTTGTCAAGGATTCGCAATGATTCAACTCAGTTTAACGTCTTCGTATCGAACAGAGCATCAAGATTACAGAAGCACAGCATAAATGGAGTTGAGGTTCGTCCTAACGAAGTTGAATCCTGCAGACATTCTGTCGAAAAAAGCCTTACCTTCGGAGCAGCCGCAGTCGAATTGGTGATTCCATGGGCCAGGTATTCTTTTGGAGCTCAGTCCTCCAGGCCATACCTCCTGATCAAAGGCACCACTGATAGAGCTACGCAAAAGAGTTAATCTTGCAAAAAGGAAATAACCGTTCTTGGACATAATTGAATATCATAATTTCGCTGACTCTTTCTACAAATTGTAGCGCACACTTGGAAATGACTTCAAATTTCGTCAGAGGATCAAGTCTACTAGACTAGCAGTAGTGGATATCACTAGAGGTATCCAGATGTCAACCCGTTCGATTTAACAAGATCATTTGTGGTCTGACTACAAGTCTGTATGTGACAGTGGAAGTATATTTTCGTCCAGCTATATATCTTCGCTTGATCCATTTGCCGACGAATTTGGAATTCTGCGCGTCGGTGGATGACTTAGTAACTCGAACCTTGTCTTCAACCCTCGGCATCCGATCATACTTCCGGGGAGTCATCACGTGACTTTTGCGATGATAGTGTACTTTGTGAGGAGTTAATATAATTGCAGCTGCAATTATACGTTGTGGCCTGCCGGTTACCAGATACGCGATAAGTTAGCACGTAGTAACGGCGAAGAGGTTTTGGAGAGAAGAGGAGTAAGAGAATATGGAGAACCAGAGATTAGAGAACGAGAAGAGCGTTTAAAGAAAATGAGTTTGGAGAGAGAAGCTGGAGAATGAGAGTTTTAGAGTGAAAGAGTCGAGAGCGGAGCGAGGGTTCCGTGTGTAAAAGGGAAATAAGAGAACGCACCAGACTTTGCCCTTTGCCGTGAACTTTGGAGCAGGAGAAGAAGTGCCACCACTCAGCGGTCGGGACGAAGCGCCTTTGTACCACTTGCCACAGGTGAATAGGTAGAGTGGCGCCAAGACGTAGTACTCCAGTTGGAAGCAGAGGGCAGGCAACAAAGGGGTCAAACAGGATTCACAGTTCTTGGAACTGGAGTGGAGAGTACCAGCGGGCCGTGCGCGAAAGGGAAATAACGGTTCACGGAGGCCTATATAAGGCCGCAGGATGCTGGCAGCTGGATCAGTCGATCTCGATCGCGTTGCTGGAGCAAATATAATGGTCCGCCAACATATAGGGCTTATACCAACATATGATTTCCGGAGCGCTGCCGGAATTGCTTAATTGAAGGGCTTTGAAGTGGTTCATGGCCAACAACAAACAATGGAGAACCTAAAAGCTTCCACTCCAATTTTCCTCCTAAAGACTTCTTTACAAGGCTAGTGGGACAAGTCAGGCAGACGAAGCAGTGCTACAGCGAGTCGTTCAAGGACTACATGGTCGACATGCAAACGATGGTGAGGCCACTCTGGTATTCTCCGAGAGAATCCTTTAAAATTATTAAGGAGAACTGCATCCCGAATCTAAGGCTTTTTCTTACAGCTTAGAGCAGACGAGTACGAGGAACTTGAAGAAAAGCGGGGAGC